CATTTTTCGAGATATTGACTTGGAACCACGACCGATATTTTTTTGATGGTCCGTACCTAATTTCAATAGGGGACGCTTTTGGGGCCGCCATCTTGGATCAGCCATATTGGATCTGCCATATTGGATATAAATATATTTTAATGTAATTATAGTGTTGTGACATATCATTATGAACTAGATTTCCACGCTGATTTCAATGCTGAAATCCGTTTTTAAATAAGTTTTTTCGTTGCTTAAGATATATTAAAACGAAACTCTCCCCTATACATCACTTATGAACGTATCGTACTTTGAAAATGTGTTTTTATTATTTTTCTCCAGGTATTATTAATACTTGCAGTTCGTTCTACCCTTAAAGTATTCAGTGATAAAAGAGCTTTCATTGTAGTTCGCTTTAACTTTGTTTTATTTATAGTTAAAACATACTAGTAATAGACAAGGTACAAACCCCAACACAAAATTAAATTAAACTTTTTTATCAGTTTTTGTTAAAAGATTTGTATATCGGGTTGTTAATATGATAACAAGTTCGTTCTGGTATCAAAGTATACTCAGTAAAATGTTTGGCTTTAATTTTATTGATTATTAAATGACACATGACAAATTTAAAACGAATCATGTAGGCCTACCTTCAATGAACTATTGAATTATTTTTTGTTATTTTGAAATTTGTCTTTAGTTAAAGACATTTATCCCCAATTCTAAATAACTCCCAATAGGGAATCCATAGCTAAAATAAAAGTCAATATTTGAACGAATAGCTATGACGAGTTTTTTCCCGCTTTCGCTCTGCACAACAGTACAAAATAAAACCATAAAACGTTTTGTTGGAATTTTTTTAAGGCCATATCCTATATTTATTTAAATATAATTTCCAAGTTACACAGTTACAATTATTTATAAGTACAGTTATTTATTAGTTAGTTAGTCATATGTACCATCAGTCAAACACCACTCCCAATCTGTTGGATCTGCTGGTGAACTATTCCACGCCATACTTGAACCTGATGGTACAACCTTAGGCTGTGGTAGTTTTCAATGTGTTTTTAGATTGTCAAAGTACGAAACGTCCATAAGAAATGTATCGGGGAGAGTATTAGTTTTTATATATCTTAAAACCGTAAAACGCTATTTAAAACTGATTTCAGCATTGATATCAGCGTGGAAATCTAGTTCATAATGATGTGTCACAACACTATAATTACATTAAAACATATTTATATCCAATATGGCAGATCCAAGATGGCGGCCCAAAAAGCGTACCCTATTGAAATTAAGTACGGACTATCCAATAAATATCGGTCGTGGTTCCAAGTCAATATCTCGAAAAATGTGCAAAAAAACATGTGGTATCTTTTGTTGAAAAATTTTTCCAATATTGGGAAAAGCCGCCATTTTTTCCTTAATTTAAGGGTTTCCCGTGGACTGATTTTTTGAAACTTTTGGTATGTCACTCAGCACACCACAACAATAAAAATAAACCGTAAAATGTTTACTTGCAAATTTTTATACGATCCCTGTGTACGCTATTTTTAGTTTGCTTATAGACTATTACATTAATTTATAACAAATATTTTTATTTGAAATATTTTATTATTCCTACGGGGTTTATTTTTTGTTTTAGGTACATGTATTTGGTATCATTTTAAAGGTAATTTCAGGAGGAACATTAAATGTATTGACGACTTTTCATCAATATTGACTGGAAAGTCAGAATTTCAATAAAAAGCAAAAAACTACTGGATTTGGCCGCCATTTTGGAAAAATGATGGTGTTCCACCAAAGATATTTTTGGAGACTTTTGATATGTTATTCACAATACTTTTCACTATCAAACAACAATGGTTTCATCTGTGTTCTAATTATTTCTAGGTTTTGCTATTTATTTTCTTATTTTAAGGCGCCTAATAATACTTTCACAAATAATCAAATTCAACACCAATCTAATTTTTTTATATTTTCTCAAATACATGTAATGATTCTCAAATACAATTAATAACTTCTCAAATAAATATGGAAAAGGTGTAGAATTAATTTACAGTAGTTACATAAACCAGCTGTTGAAACATTAGTATGGAGTTTTTTCATGTTTTATTTACATTGTGGAAATTTGCGAGCTATTTAGTAATAGGGTTATGTTTATTTAAAGAAAGACTGTACAAGTTCGTAGAATTTTTTTTTAGTTTTCGGCGAAATTTACATAATGAGCTTTTGGAGAATAAGGGTAAAATATCTGTATCTCGAACATCAAAATCAAGGATTGATTTTATTACTGCCCTACGGTACCTACTGTATTTTTGGATCTGTCGACTTCATAAAAATGCGCTTAGAAGTAAGTATAACTACTTTTTAATAAGTTTATCTTTTCAAATTGAATCGTCGCATTTTTTAACTGAATAAAACACGTATCAGCACCACTTACACTCTGTACTAAATTGCCTCTGAAATTTAATCCCCTTTTTAAATCAAAATTTAATCATTTTAATACACTAACATCAGTATAGTTGAGCTTTATTCTTAAAATGAATCAGTGACGATTTCATAAAGAAGATCTAAAGAACATAAAAAACAGAGTGAAACATTATTGCAATAATCCTATGGTCATTCAAAGATGCGGATTCATTTTACATTCAATTGAAGGTTTAACTTGGTTTCACCTTTCCTAATTTTGTCAGCTGAATCCAATATCTTAACCATAAGAATAAATTTGACAGAGATCTAGCCAAAAAGGTATGAATGTTTAAGAACTGTACGGCCAGAAATAAAACTTTGCGAATCAAACTCAAACTAAATAAATAAGTGATTAAATTTTCGTTACCCGTACTTGATTGTCTTACAAGTATGAGAAGTACAAACATCGAGTAGATATTAATTGTTGTGAATCCTCAACATAATGCAGAATACCTACCAGTAGAAATTTAACTGGGATGGTATAGGTTATTGTATGTCGTCTTTGTATACTACTATAGTAGGCTAGCTAATGAGTTTAACGTGAATTTCAGAGTATAGAGATATGGAGTAAACAAGAAAGGTTCTACCTTTTTTTATCAAGGAGTGAGGATTAATTTATTCCTTTGTGGAAAATATTGGTATTATTCACAGTTAAATTTCCAATGCCCGAACAGTGTTAGATGTTTAGGCAGTTTTGTTTGCACTTGGTCTCTTTTTTCAGTTCTACTGTAATCTTCCTGAAATAAATCTTGTTACGATTCTTATCATTAATAAAATTAGGTTTAAATAATCTGTTATGGCAGATAAACTAGTTTTTTGCGTAAACAATCTTGATCGAATAATTTTAATTTTGTAGCCTACTTAAAAAAAAAACATACAATACAAAAATAACATACTGCATACAATAATAAACTAACATATAATAAAAAAGTTATAAAATCGAACACCATAATCGTAGATATGCAAAGTTTCAAAGAAATTCGTTAATATTTTAGGCCACCGAATGACCTCATTGACCTGTTATGAATATACACATTTATATTTATTGTAATTATTTAGTAAAAAGTATCATTTTTAAGCCTTTCTTTGTCGACCTATAGCATTTTGGCTTTAATTAATAAGTAAGAATTTTACTTAAATTTTGGGCATATTGTATTGAGGTGTAGTGTGTTGATTTTCTTGAGTAACTAAAACTTAAGCTAACTTGCTATTTTCAAAACATATTTATGTAACTATCTTCTCATAAAATTCCTACCATGATTTGCTTTCATGATTAAAAAGAACCTTTCAAGTCATCTAGGATCGTCTATTGCAAATGAAGAATTCAATCTCGCAAAGTCTTTCAAAGTCAAGGCATACGGCTATAACTACTGTTTACACATAAATTCTGTGCTCTGAATACATAAAAGCTTAGGATGTTTCGTAATATCTTATATTTTCAAATTTAATATGTTGGATTCTACTTAATATCTTCAAGAACATATTAAAACTTGTGGCAAAAATGTATTTTCAAATTAACTTTTTCTTCAGCATATAAATGTTTTTGTAGCATCTTTACTTATTCGAACGACCATGTTTCTCAGGATCTATTTCACAAGGGTGCAACTTAAGGCGGTGACACACTATCGATCTTTTCCCCGATCAAGACCCCGAACCGAGCAGGGAGAAGGGAGAAGGGAGATAAATATCAGCAAAATTTTACTCCGAACATTTCCCCGAACATGACCAAGACCAGACGAATTCTACCGAGCGCGGCAAAAGGAAGTTTGGAGAGAGATGCAGAGTGTGTGCGAGTGAGAGCGCAAAAATAAAATATTCTAGAAAGGATGCTTAGTTATATCTATTGATTTCTATTGGTTTTATTCATTGAAATAACGTTACAGAATGATCATTTTAATTGCCTTTAATAATATTAATGTTTATATTATTTTTGAAAGAATTTAAGTCAACATCAATTACTTAATTCAACCTTAATATTATTGATATAATTGATTTAACGGTTTCTACACTTTCAACCTTGACCAAACAAACCACAAACATTACATCTTAAATGATTATAATATATAACGGCAACATATTACCCAACATTTATTTATTTTACCAATTAAAGAGTTTAATTGCCACATTAAATCAGAACTATCAATGCTAGCGCAGGCGGCCGCTCGGTGCGGCGCTCGCGACGATGTACGGGGCAAAAATGTACCGTGACACACTATCGTACATCGGACCGTACATCGGACCGATCTTTTCTTTGATCTTTCGCCAAAAAACCGCCTCCAGAGCGCTCGTCTCCCTGCTCGGCCTGATGTCTTGTTCGGCGTCTTGATCGGTGTACGGACCCGTGACACACTATCGAACATCCTCCCTTCGACCTCCCTTCTCCCTTCTCCCTGCTCGGTTCGGGGTCTTGTTCGGGGAAAAGATCGATAGTGTGTCACCGTCTTTACATTTCCCCTCTCTCCCCACTACTTCTCTACCCCGAGCGCGCCTGAACTCTAGCGGCCATCCCGGCAACTATCACGCACACAGCAAAAACCCAAACAAAAAAGCACGTTCAGAAGTGCATCGTGTGTTGTGGTGTGACAATCGAGTTGGGGAAGGACCGAATATCAGGTAATCTTACAGTGTATTTGTATGTGTTGAAATGCGTGTGTTACTTATTTATCTCATTAACTTATCACGGTTGTTTTCATTCAAGAAATCCTAGTGTTGTGAAATAACGTGACTAACCTTCAAGAAACCACCCACCATGAGGGTGGTTTTCTCCCTTGTTTCGTAATGTTCGCGATTTCCTGCCGTGTTCTTCCTGTGTTTTCAGTAGTGGTTTGTCTTCTAGTGTTGATAGTTTGTGTTGTCAGTTTGTGTTTTTGTGTATCAGTGATGTACAGTTTGTGTCGAGTTTCGCGCGTCCGTTACCCTTGAAATCACATAAACAAACACCGCCTCACACCACCCTACGTTACCTTTGCGCGAGTTTTCGAGTTGTGCAGGTTGTGCGTGTTTTGGTGGCTGTGAAATCATTTTTATTTGTGTTTTGTCTAATTTATGCATTCAGGAAATTATGCTTATCTCTGGTATGTTATAATTTATTGCCACAAAGTTTCTATACAATGTAAACATGTTTGCAAAATTTATTGATTTAAGTTTATTGAACTGTAAAATATTAGTTAGGTGTTTTATGGAATAATGTTTTTGCTTGCAAAATTTCTTGCAATTGTGGCTACCTTGAGACTGCCTTGAATTTAATGGTATAGTTGAGTTATACCATTGACTATATTATAAAGTCAATGGTTATACTGTAATACGCTTCTGGGCCTATTAATAAATATTGATTCCTCTCGTTACAATAGTAAAATGGGAACTTAAAATCGTGTTATTGGTTTACTCTGCATCAAAGAAAGCCTTTTTTTATGGGAAACCCCAAATGGTATATGTTATTCGTCCCTTAGGTTTTATTTTTGTGATGTGGTAACGTAACCTTTATTTGAGATGTAGGACCCTAGCGCTTTCGTACACTTAAACAAAACAAGTACCTAATTGCTAGATGCAGCCCATTGGATTGCTCAATGAAAAGTGGACTTACAAAACTAATACATCCAATAAACTGCCTTTAACCTTCATGAAGTATTATGCGTTATGAATAATTGCAGACAAACTAAACGAGAAACTATTATCTCTTTCTAGGATGTATACAACTTATTGATTTTCAACAAAGTCAACACACCACATATTATTTGATCATGCAAAATTGTTTTTTACATGTTAACTATCGGGTTAAACATCAACAGCTAGATGTGTGTTAGCAAATTATTATCTTATAAAATTAATTGTCTGTTCCAAAAAGCACTCTTCAATCAGAAAATAATATTATTTCTACCAGTAAAAAATTAAACAATTACAAAGTTGATCTTGTTTTTTTACCGCTATACTTTTTTCAAACACATTCATTTACCCACATTGGTTGAAAAAACGTGCCTAATCGCAAGGGCTTATTTTTATTGGTTTTACATAGATGGAATTACACATTAACCAGTTATTATATCAAAGATAAAAAAATAACAGAATAGTTTGACGTGACAAGGAGCGTAAAAAATAACAGAATAGTTTGGCGTGACAAGGAGCGTTGTGATTTTCAATAGCAGCGTCGGGGCTTTGGGCAAGCTCTGTGTTGTTCTATGGACCAATTTTAAGTAGACACTTCCTGTTTTCAGACGACAAATTAACGGAATTGCCTACTGGGTGAGACTATAGACGATAAACTGGCCTCTGTGTTGAACTTTGGTTCAGCTTTTAACCAAGAAAGAATAAAAAGAGTGCTCTTGACGTGCGTTTAGCAAACGATCGCGTTAAAACTCTGAAAACTTTATTTGGTACTGTATTTATTTTGATAAAAATGTTATATTTTCATATTTTTATCTTAAAAATCCCCTAGGAAAGTTTAATATAAAAATAAGGCCTGTACAGTATTTATGTTGGTCTACTATTATTATTCTTCTAAACCCATATCATCATGATCTATCAGGACAGTTATCCTGAATTTATCAGTTGTTATCTGGAAGTCGTTCTTTGAAACTTGCCACAAATGGTTGCACAGAAATATTTGTGTGATCTTTGGTGAATTTAAATGACTAAAATATGATTTAAAATAGTGAACGGGCCAAACTGGCGTAGGCCTATGTGGTAAAAATATATTCTGCATATGTATATAGTCAAAATGTTTGTCGTATAGCTTTTAATTATTATTTCCTAATTGGTCCGTCAATTCATTTTATTTTCACGAATACTCAACAAACAGTTAAACTAACTGTAAGAAATTAATTTGAATTTGAAATAAAATCCAACTTTTTATTAAATAATCACGATAAATTGTAAATTGATAGGTAGGCTAGGCCTACATAAAATAAATTAACCAAAAATATATTTTTTAGATTGATAAATTGTAGTAAATTAGCATTAGGTATATCGATAGGATTTTGATTCCATAATATGAATAAAAACTTAGAAAAACAGGAACAAGGTTTGGGAGTAGGTTGGTGAAATGGTTTTCCTATCTGTCCAATAATGGTCTCCTAACCATTTACGAGTACACAAAAATAAACGTTGTTGTTTACCAATCATCACGTGCACATTTGAGGAATAGCATAGTATATACAGTTTTTATTTCTTTTTAAGCTATATATGATTAGCGAATTTCCATATAGGGAATAATCTACTACCGCAGGTCTCATGGCAAAACCTAGACCTAGACCCGGGACCGATTTACTTTTTCGCTTTGAGGTCCCCAGAGGCCAAAAACACCATCCATTCAAATACACATATATACACTCATTTAAGTGTTTAGTTGAATCTGGTTGGCTAAGAACATGCAATATCGAAGTGTGAATATAAAACTTTATGTTATGTTCTGTAGTATTTATAAGTGCAAAGTACTTGGTCGCGCTGACCGTCTGCGCCGATCGCCGTTTGCCGCGCAACGGCCGGAAACAGCTGTTGTCGTGTGGCAAGTTTGTTTCCGGTTGGTTTATTGGCTCTTGTCGATATGACCTTAAAATGTTAAAGAAATGCCGTGAGGTATCTTTGATAAGAACAGCCAAAAAGTCCTGGGGTTTTCACGTAGGGAAGGGTCGAAGGGAGTAAAATTGAGAGAAGCGCATGATTTTGGTATTATGATCACTAAACTAGGCCTGTTAGGTATTTATGTAGGAACGGTAATAATCAACGATCACGTAATAACCCCTGGCACAGAAAACAGGTAGCCTAATAGTAGTATGTTTTCTGTGCCCCTGGTCTTAAATGTTTATGATAAATGATAACTGGACCTAGAAACAAACTCACTATGGAATCATTACCTTTTGCTTGGATGAGAACATTTCAGCCTATGTGTAATGGTACATAATATGTTTCAAATTGAGCGGATAAAAAGATGTTTAATGTTTAGATATTAAACTATATTTTACAAATGTCTTTGCTATAGTACGTTAGGTACATGTGAATATGTTAATAACTGACCACCAAAACGTCCCCTTATAGTTTTTAACTTCCAATTTTGAGTTGACTTTCCAATAGGTTTCCCTTCCAGTTTGTCAAAATAAGTTAATACATGTGAAAGAAAACCAAAGTCTAAATACCGTCAGTAGATCAAGTAAACTAAATTAATTATACTGCTCTATCTTTACTACATCTTTTACGTGAATATTCAGGGTCTCATTGATTCCAAACTATTCATATTTTACCTGCAGACAACAGAAAATTTCTTCATATGCCTTTTTTTTTATATATTGTATTTACGATTGCTATTCATATACATTTCCTATGTTTATAAAATCGTATACTCTCAATCAATTATCAAATATCAATCATTGAGATGGGGACGCCATCTAGGTGCGTATTTTAACCCAAATATGAGTGAAGGATGAGTGTAGAATGGTGTGAGATGACCTGTGTAGCTTTGTTACTGACTTAATGTAAAGCTAATCCCGTGTTAGTTTCGTACAGTTACATTTTTAGTCTACACAGGAGTGCTTAGGGTTGCATTTAATCATTTTACTTTCTATAAAATATATTGCCTTGAGCAATTTAATTATAAACTGAACATCCCAATATATTCATTTTTGGTTTGTGAACAACGAGTGAGTGAGAGATGACATCCCGATGAGCTGGCGATGACGTCACTGTCTTGTGAACGTATTCCAGTGAATCGAACTTAAATGAACAAAGAGTGACTTGCATTATTATTATTAGTCGAATCTGTATCACGTCCATTTGTATATTTTTTGGCTAAGTTATTGGCTAATTATAATGGAAGTATTGCAAATTTTCTTCTCATTTTATACTGTTTTCAAGAATAACTTAGTCAACATTTATTTTACAGGACCACAAAAATAAACCATCAAACATTTTTATTTAAAAAAGGGGAACAACATTATGTTGACAATACCTTAAACATTAATCAATAAAATACTTGTGCAATTTTAATTTTAATTTTCTTTAAGATTAACAGTTTTTTCGGGGTCTAGATGGTTGTTCCATAGACTTCTGAGGAGACTACAGTATTGAAAGTAAATGGCTAAAAGTATTCGTCCAAAATCAATTCTCTCCCTAAATAACCAACAATTTAAGTATGTAATATTCTTATTTTAGCACAATTTAAATCAAATAACACTTAAATAAGAAAAATATTACAATTTCAATCAGAAATATGTATTTTGTAAAGCGTTACGACCGATTTCGTTGGAGTTTTACTATACACTGTTTGTAAAGTCGAAAACTCTTAGATTGTGTCCAAGTTAGGCTGATCAAAAAGCTCAACTCCGACACATTTCGTCGTATTGAGGCCGCGTAGTCACCCATCACGTCCAAATCACAGATCGCAGGCTGGCAGCCTCACAAGCAGCTGTTCCGTGACGTACCTTATGGCGCAGCTGTCCTTTGTATAGCCGCCGTGTATACCTGGTCCTCGTCCTTTATAACGGCTCCTCTACGCAAACACACAGCCACCGTGGCTGAGATTGAAATCGCACGTTGCTACATTTGGAAAATTGTCAACCGTGTTGTCAAACTGCCTATAAACATTGCAACCAACAACTTGGTCTTGTTTGGCGGTGTATTTGGATTGAGAAAGTTCTTAAATTGTCACAGTAACAGTGTTCAATGTGTTTATATTAAATTTAATTAATTGTTGATTTTTTTAGTTTATTAGTGGCAATGTGTTCAAACGATTTTTAAGAATATTTCACATCCATATTTTTTTGTGATAAAAAGTATAAATGTAAGTCTTTGATAGTAAATTTACTACAAAGTTAGCTGATGAAACCAGCTAAATAACTACAGTATGCACCCGCGTTTAAACTCAAACATTTTTTGTAGTATACACTGTAAATACAAACTGGTTTGTTGGTATCGCTTACCACAGAAGTCCTTAGTCTTAATAAGCCAAGTCATTATATTGTAAAATTTATTTAAACAAATCCATCCATTATCATGCATTATTTTAGTCCTTCTTGAGCACCTTTGCTGTCTGTCATATTCTCTGATTTTCTAGGAATCTAAGTAATGTAACATCTATTCCATCCTTTGATTAGTCACTCATCATATGCTTTCTGTGTTCCAGTGCCGGAAACTGCTCGTCATGACGTCATGACGGTGCGATGAGCGAAGGTGGAGGAGAGGGACAGTTCGGGGGTGGAGGGGGTAGTTTCTCCTCTCAACCCCCGACCCCGTCCTCCACGGTGCCTGACCCCGGGGCGGACAAGAACTCCGGGCTGCCTCCCTTCAGCTCCTTCTCAGCATCCGACATCGCCGAGGGTCTCGGCTCGGAGACCCGTCTCTTGGACATCTCCGGGTGGGACTACTACGGCGAGGGTCTGACCGGGCGACTCCTGGACCGCGGGGACGGGTTCCCCATGATCATCCCTCAAGCTCAGTACCGCCCGTGGGAGAGCAAGCCGCAAGACTCGACGTCGCAGGATAGCATGAAGACTTCAGAGTACCCCACGTCGCCTTCTAACAAGCTGCCTTCTTTTCAAAGCCAGTTCAACGCCTTCCCGCAAGACTCCAACGGTGAGACGGTGACATTGACCACGCTCACCCCCGCTCCGCCCTCGCCTTGCAACTCGTCCTCTGGCCTCCCTAGCTTCCACACGCTGTCCACGGTGAACGTGAACCCTCGAGGGTATCCTCTAGTCCCCGCGCCAGTCCAGGCCCGGGAGATACCCGCGATACAACAACAGTTCCTGGACGAGCGTCACATCCATCTGTTCCAAGGAGCCCCTGGACAGTACCACCAGTACGTGACCGCCCCACAGGCCGCGCCACAGACCACGCTGCTGACCGTGGTGAAGAGTGAGCCGGTCATAGTGACCGCCGTACAACCCGCCATCTACCACAGCTCGGGGCTCGACGAGGGCCGCCACTCCCCGTTGGACTCGAGGAAGAAGGAAAGACGGAAAGTGCGCGCGTCGAGTTTGGAGAGCGAGAGCGACGGAGTCGGCAGCTCGAGCGTCGAGAGTTCCGGACAAGTCGCGGCGATCTCGTCGACCGCCGGGTTCAAGAGTCCGCAGATCTCACATCCGATGATGGTCGGTCAGCAGATGGACATGGAGGACTGCGACAACAACGAGAAGCCGGTGAAGAAGAAGAGGAAGCGTTGCGGAGAGTGCATCGGGTGTCAGAGGAAGGACAACTGTGGAGACTGCGCACCTTGCCGCAACGACAAGAGTCACCAGATCTGCAAGATGAGACGGTGCGAGAAACTAACGGAGAAGAAGGTCAGTGTGTATAATATGTATGTAGATTGTAAACCTAGAAAGAAATAGTAGTGTGTGGTGACCTAGAGTTAGTTGTAGCTACATCATGTATGGTGTACAAAAAGAGGTTTCTACGTTTGCCGGGTTTTGATAAACTCCACTATCTTGATCTTCGGGAAATGACAGTATACATCGTTCCCTCAATTGTACATTGAGAATGTTGCTACATCGTATGTGAAAAACGCTACATCACTGTCCCTAGTGTTTGCTCCCGGTATTCAATGATGATGTCATCTGCCGAAGATCGAGATAGTGCAGTGTACTCAGCTAATAGAAGCTTCTCCCCTAGAAGGGCTGACATTGTACGCGTTTTCCTCCCGACGGTAAATCTGTATCGACCACTTAAAATAATGTTAGTAATCATGTCCAGCTTTTTTCTTGATTTTTGGGACCCAAATTCGTTTCGTTGAACAATTAAAAGCAAAATAAATTTGTATTCGGATATTAATTAATAAACCTCTGTTGTTACGTTGTTAAGTTATTAAATTTCTTTAACGCCATTTTTGTTTAACTTTGGAGTACTTACGTGAACTCGAGTACTGGGATCAGGACGATTATTTTCTACGCTCAAATAAGCATATTTTGGTTTTAGGTAAAGCATCTGGCCATTGATGACAACATCAATAACTAATTATTAAAATCGTAGTACTTGGTTTTGAACAAGTCCAATAATTATTTTTACTTTTATCCGATGTCAATAAGTAAAACTGTGCTTAACCTATCGATTCAGTAATTCATTTGTTTTAACTGAGTCCGAAGCGAACATACAAAGGTGGACGAGAAACGGGTCGTGTAAAAGTGTAAAACTGGCAATTTAGTTTGTTTGCAACAACGCCAATATTGGCGGCAGCCATCTACTGATAAGGTTCGGCGATGATGGGGGAGGAAGCAGGGTTACCAACCCCTGGCGGACCGCCAACCCGCGAAATATGACACCCTTATCACTGGAGTGTTGCCAACATAGCGAGATGAAATTCTGTATTTTACGGACTTCGTCCAAGCATCGTTTATTGTTAATCTCGTAATTGATTGTCGATCATGTTTCGTACTTTTCTCGTGCAGAAGGAAACTCGAATATTGTTTCAAACGAGCATTTTAACTTATTTGCCAACTGTTGATATTCTAATGTCTAAATATCTGGAAAACTAGTAGCTAAAAATAAAATTAATATCCAAATGCATTGTTCGTTTATATACGCGATCTAACATAACATTCTTACGTTGTCCAATTCATTGCGAAAGAAATTTGCCTCATTTTTATTTCAATGTAAAAAAATTGAACATTTTAAATTTTTATACTTCTTTTCAGTTAAATATTATATTTTACACACATACACAAGCTACAAATCAAAGAAGTATAAAATAAGAAGAACAAAACAAACTAAAATACAGGTGGCACTAGAGAAAAGAAGAAACATCATGATTCAGTCAGTTTCATTTAGTCAGCGATAAGACAGTAATGGCTAGCCTGTACAGTTTCAACCAGTTTTATCACTTTTTATTATATTTTAATTATTTGATCAACATGACAAGTTTCAATTATTGTGGTTGTGACCATATTTTAAAGAATCTATTGACTGTACCACAATGTATTAATACATCACAGTGATGATGTGGCTGCATACACAACCTGACGAAGTTCTAAGGAACGAAACTAGCCGTCATACCAACTAATTGGATAAGGTAATCATTTCATTTTATCAATGAAAAAATCATACAGTACAAATTCAATGTTGGTTCACCAACCTGTATAGAACATCGATCTTATTTTGATGTTTCAAAATTAATTTGTTCAGATATACTTATGAACACTTGTAACGTATAACACATGTAACTTTCATCATTTTACCGTTTTGGCCCAGGGTTGAGGATTAAAAATATTATTTGCTGAACATAGAGCAGATCCAACCCAAATTTGGTCTTACTACCATAAGATTTTACTTAAGATTTTGAACGTTTATGTTTCGAATACCAACCGTTACAGGGTACTGTATTATTTTATGCACAGATCAGTATCAGATCAGTATGGGGTTCTTACCACAAAAAGACTTTACTTAAGGTTTTTTACTTAGGTATGAATATTAAAAGTCAAAGTGTCTTAATTTCAGAATCTTACACTGGTTAGAGGTTAAGACCTTAGTGACTTGAGGCAGTCCAACCAACATATGGGTGCTCGACGCGGCGCCTAGCCTACTCTTGTTTACCCTGCGACTCAGACCTAGCAGAACACAACAGATGTGCTGTGATGAGGACCGCCATCTTGCATCTAGCTCTGCCCAAACATCCACATCCGTCTGCGAACCTATGTCCTGGGTCCTCGCCCAACTACAGCTATATAGAGCGTTCACATCAATCAAAACTAGCGCCAGAACCACCAAGGTGTCGCGAAGAAATGTCCCAAATACTTCCCCGTAGCTTCGGGCTCACATTGCTGTCCTCTGTCCACTTCTATTACCCCCTAACTGAAAACAATACCAATGAGGCTTCTAGTAACAATTAATTTCTTGAAAAATTGGCCACTTTTTTATTTCTGCAAACTGGTCCAAGACCTTGATCAGTGGGTTAATACAATTGTTCTAAGAAATAAAGATACTTGAGATTTCTCACTTCATTCTGGTCCCATCCTTCCTTCAAATCTTTTCCCAAAATACGTATCATATTGGCATCGTGGAGATTTAATCTAATTGGTGTACTCTACAATTACAGTTTCATTGACCCTGAACTGAAGGAAATCGTAGTAAGTCTTATAGCGATTAAGACTCAGCAAATTAACAAGTTAGGTAACAACTAACTATTAACAACCAACTATTAACAACTAAGCAATTAACAAGTTTATTTTCAAATTGTTATAATAAAAAAAAAAAAAAAATATATAAAAAAAAAGAGAAAAAGTCAAAAAAAAAAAAAAAAAAAAAAAAAAAAAAGGAGCACAAAAAAAAATAAAAATAACAATCAATCAATAAATAAACGGAGTCTGCACGAAACAAATGGAAAAGGTACTGCTACACCGGTATACCGAGAGGTGGGTACGGTGTCAAGGGAAAAAAAAAAAAAAAAAAAAAAAAAAAGCGATTAAGACTCTATGCCTTTATTGTTTCGACTTATGATAAATCTTAATAGGCTACCTTAATCACATCATTTGATGGAATATTCGAATGGTTAACAGGTTGTTGCACCTTTGTTTAGGAACTTTCTTCATTAGAATACTACTTGTTCTGACATGCTCATCACTCTTGTTTGAAAAAGGAAAAGGCAGCAGTGTTCCAAAGGGCTGTTTTCAAGGACGCCACGGTTCGGAGGTCCGGAACTTGTTATCAATGATAAGCCCAACAATGCCGCCCACCAGACCCTTATCTAAGTCAAGGTCATATTAGCACCTGGTAGATAACGTTCCGATGGCAGGTCCTGTAGAATGTCGATAGGTCGATACTTAAACTATTCAAACCGTATTTTGTATTGTGTTTTCTTAAAGTTGCCTGTAAGAGATTTTACCTGCGATATAAATGGTGTTTATAGATTTATTTAAGTATTCCCCTTCTTAATTTGCACTTAATGTAGACTAAGTAGACATAAATTTAAAAATAGCAATTCAAAGAAATCCATTGGGTGTAGATGAAGAATCTACAGCTACTGTATTAACTTTCAATAGTTTGGCAGACTTCCTATTGTAAATCTATGCTATTGACAGTGTGTACTCTGTGCAACGCTCGAGTAGGATCTTGTTTAAGGGTAAATTTCACTCACCTAATAATTATTGTAAATTGGACGAAACAATTAAAAGTAAGTCATCAACATGCTGTTTGCTTCTGAGCTGTGTGGATTAGAATAAAGGGGAGTATATGACTACACCACCCTCCTACCTTTTTATTTGTAAAGCCTTTCGTTCGTAATATGCAAGAAACTTAAGGGGAAGCGTAAAGAAAAAAAATCGAAGGAGTAAACCCGATACCGATGGGAGAATGGGGCAATGGGGGGGGGGAGGTAAAGGATAATCCAAAAGTTCAAAAACAGGCCCCAGGGGCTGCGTTAAGAAGTGTTTTTCACGAGTTCCGGAAAGTCGGCGGTGCTTTTGTAATTGGCGACTGAGAAGTTATGAACTTGTTTGCTCCCAGAGAGGTTGTATGTTGGGGAAACATTTATACTTCAATTACAAATATCTTGGTTTGGTTTCTGTATGTGTTATGGTCAGTAGAATGAATCATATTGTACTGCAGACCTGGCTAGTAGGGTGAGTTGTACCATAATCTTTAATTGTATTTTAGTTCCCAGGCGGCAGCCAATCACAAGACATGGCTAGTGTGACGTTGCCATATCGCCCGTTGACGACACTAATAAAAATACTAAACAATATTTTCAAATGAGCTGGTACTGTATTATTAGATTTGGCAACACCGCACTGTCCTCATTGGCTCCTTTAAAGTCACGTGGTAAATAGACTCCTTCCTCAACTGCAAACTTTCGTGGTCCCGACTGTAGCCAAGGTTTCTGTGTTTGGATGTTATTATACACGATAAGAGCACAATGGACTTCTAATGCAGATTAATAATCTGTTGGTTAAGAGAAATATAAACCAAATTATAAATGTCACAATCAAAGCGCATTAAAATGGGCTGTGGTCTGAACTTTTTTGTAGTATCAAGTTTGAGCATTTTTGTATATAGCTATCAGGGTTAGGCTGCTGCTTGTTGCACTTAAAATATATTTTTAGAGATAAAAATGCGTACTCCGCATGTAGGAAGTCCTCTTCTTAAATCCTAACAAGAAGAGGAGAGCTAGAACTACCTATGAACTGGAACCCCAAAATTTACTAAAAGGCTTTTAAGATGTTATAGAAAACTATACGTCGCGTATTCATCGTATGTAAAACATTGTGAGGTTTGTAATATCAACGAGAACAATATTAGAAAACTTAATAGCAAGATAGTTTATAAAGTTATAAGAGAAGTTATGGAGTTCACATGT